AGAGGATTTTAGGGAGTACGCTCATCTTCACAATAATATGATATGTGTAGATTTGCCTACCTATCTACAACCTCTGGCGAAGCGGATGGCACAACACAGAAGAGCACAGATGAGGTCAAGGCCCAGCCAAAAGTGAGTTTCAACAATGAGATGGTATTCATGATAAAAAATGAAAAATGTCAATGTGATGACATCCAAAGAGGGAGCTCGCAGTTCCCAGTTTTCATGCTGAAGTTAAAGTCAGAGGAGGTTTAGAGATGTGAAGTCAGTGAGTCAGGAGAGTGTTTGTGACTATTACGCACAAGCACAACTCAGCACTCAGACACCCCACCGAGTAACTTTGTGTGGTGTACAACTGAATTTCAGACAGCTCTTTAGCACCACAGTGATTGACAAGTATTTGTAAAGACAGAGGTCATGGTTAGCTGCTTGATTTTATACACCTCTCACTGAAAACACAATTGTAGCACAGTTCTGGTGTGCCAGAGAAGACATGCCAAATGGTTTCACCTCCAAAAAGCAGGTCTCACCAATTTTTGAATTCAGATCACTGGATTCTAGGTCCACAGGTTTAGTTAGTTTGTTAAGCAAACCACTTACAGTAACCACCAATCATTCAATCATAAAGGGGCATAACAGACAACTTGGCAAAGAACCAAGTTTAAACTCCATCTTTAGACACTTTACTAGCAGCCTGTCACAAAACCACACACTTTAGTCTAATTTCTTTACCCGAATCTGTGAAAAATACCAGATATAACACAGTTTGACAGACATAAAACAGCATGTTTGCACAAACAAGGTGATTCCCAAAGAGCTATAAGCTAAACTGTGGTATATCTCAGCATGGTGTGCAGAATGTCCTTAAAAAAATGAGGATGCTTGACAAGCAGAGGACTAAAGAAGACTACATATAAAAACTAGACGACTGAGACATGCATCTGGCTCTTCAGTTGATCCCTCTAATGTTCATTGAAGCCTTATCAGAAGTGATCTTAGTAAAAAGGTGGCTGGCATGAAGCCATTTTTGAAGGAAAACTGGGAGAAAAGACTGAAGTATTCAAATCAAATGACCTGCATTTGTATAGCGCTTTTCTAGTCCCTAAGGACCCCAAAGCGCTTTACACTACATTCAGTCATTCACCCATTCACACACACATTCACACACTGGTGATGGCAGCTACATTGTAGCCACAGCTGCCCTGGGGCGCACTGACAGAGGCGCCACAGTAATTTCTGGGTTTCTTGTGTAATTTCTTGTGAAATTACACAAGAACTGGACTTAAAATCAGTGGTAACAAGTCTACAGTTAAAAATTCTTATTCAAATCTTCTACAATGGAACCCCAGAAAGTTCATTCTGTTCATCTGGATGTGGCGTTTTCAGCGAGCGACATGTTTTATCACTTGGATGTTTCACAAAGCGTTTCTCACTGAAAATGACACATCCTTTCTTGGGACTTGGATGATTATGCATTTCTGGTAAATCAGTAGTAGTGACATAAAATGTGTCATCCAGAAGTTCTGCTGGTGGGGAAAACAAGACAAAATCATCAAAAAGAAATGTTTTTATTGTTCTTTCTTCACAGAAAAAAAAAAAGTTTATACAGAAAAGTTACTCACATTCCTGAGAATACAGATTGATCACAGTAGATGTCTGATGGGCACTGGGGGGGGGACTAACATTGTTTGCAGTCAGGTTTCATGGGTTAGGTTGGGGGGAGTCCTCAGTGAAATTATCATCTCAAAACCAGCAAACGGAAAAGACAAAAAATTTCATCTTCCTGAGACACACAAACACATCCATTCAGTTACAAGACCGATGTGTCTAAAGCACAATTTCAACCTTGGGGAGGGTTAATCTTTTTTTCTCCTTTTTTTTTAAGCTGTGCATTTTTCTGTACATCAATGTAGCTCAGAGAAATAAAAGTCAGTAGTACAGCATTTCAACTGCCTCCCTTGAGACAGTCATGCAAGAACCGCTCCCTGTTAGAAGACTGAACATTTGCACTAGTACATATTCACAGACATTTGTGCTTTTATGATAACTAAACTTGACATGAAGACAACTCCTAGCAAAATAGGTCATTTATGTCATTGGCAACCACACAGTCAGATCGGTATAAATTAACTGTTTAAGTTTGAAAGCGTTCCCCTTCATTCAGGCTGAGCAAGGAGAAACAGCTCCATCTAGCTCATGGGTGGGCTAACTGCATCAAAGCAACAACTGCTTTCTGCTACTCAGGAAGGAAAAACAGATGGAAGCAAATTTTAAGCTGGGGGTAAAAGAAAACTGCTCTATCAACAGACTAAGCATGTTAAACACACTAGAGATGAGCATTTTTAGCATTTTCATTAATTACTAAAATAATGCATTTACAACACGGGCAGTGTAACTTTTGTGTGCCTTAGTTGGCAGTTGTAGTTTCTCCCCATATTTCTAAATTGTTAAATTCATCTCTACTACCGCCACAACTATACTGTGTCATGGAGCAAGATAACAGTACGTGCAGTATGCTTCTGTTTTTGTACCCTCTTGAGAAATGGTATGGAAATACTTTAAAAGAGAATACGGGAAAAACTGGAGAAAACTGGAGAAATTTGGAAGCACAGATTCTATTAAAAGTAACGTAAAAAACACAATTTTGTAACAAGTAATTTCCTCTTGGAGAGACATGTTTACACGTCGCCCTGCACTGACTTCATTGCAATACTTTAAAAAAAAAAGAACAGAAATTAAAGATATTTCTACAAGTAGATTTTTAATCACAGTTAAAATAAAGTTCAGTTCTGAAATAGAGAAATGAAAATATACGCTTGTTAACAACTTTATCATTTAATTTACAGCAGTGGAGCTTATTATACTCGAGGATGAGAAATTATGTAAGGAGTAAAAACTTTTCCTAGCTTCACATTTATTCCACACTTATTCAAAAGATGTCTCACAAGTTCCAGTCATCAGTAGTACATACAAAGTGTTTGGATATCCCAAAGAATTGGTGAAAAACACATTTTATAATTCCATATAATTACGTAACCCTGTTACTTCGTATATCTTGCAAACTTCATGTTAATCAAAACTCTTCCTATATCCCACTGTCAGCTTGAACAAGCCCAAAGTTTTTCTATGAATCACAATTGCTGGTGCCACTACTTTTTTCTAATGTGGACAGAACTAAAGAATAGAAAACAAACAACTAAAAAACAAAACAACCCTTCAACTTCCCAAATAAATTCCCTTTTCACAAAATGATTTTTAAAATATATCAACAGTGAGCACTAAGTTGGCAAGTTAAGGAGGCTTAAAACCTAATTTTTAAATCACAGCCTAATTTTTGGAGAAAGATATTTATCACGGTCATCCTTATGTGTGTGTTTTTGAAAAGCGATTTTTCAACTAGTATACATAAATCTTTTCAATACAATGTAGTCTTTGTAAGTATAGCAGAGTATATGAAATAATAATAAAAGCGTTACAAACAAATATTATAAGGATTTTTAGAAGATGACCCAGGCTAACTGTAAAGACAAGATGTAAAATATTGTACAGGACAGCCTTCCATCTAGGTATGCGTGTCTGAATGGATCATATTGCTTCTTCAAATCAGAACCTAGTTATTAAAAAGTTATACAATGTCTCACACACTCACACACAGCAAGAAAGATGAGTCGAATCAAAGCAGCACAACTGTAGACAGATGAAATGTGTTCCCTGTGACTTTTTCCTCAGTGGCCAAACACGTATTACGAAAAGAAATTGTGCTTTAATGTGGCGTGACAGGACTGACGCAGGAACCTCAACCACAGTCCGCAGAACAGAAAGGAAACTAAATCGTTGCTGAGAATTAATGATTACATGTCGAGGTGTTCAATCTGCCGAGCCCTCACAAGTAGACTAATGGAAGACAAATGTAGTTTGATGCATATTAAGAATCTACTCAAATAAGAGCGCAGATTGTCTCAGGTTTGTATGCTTTTAGCCGGAAATTCTTATGCCTGATCTGTGAAATCAGCCTCTCATTTATGGACATGTAGAAGCGACTCCACTGTGCACGTCCAGAGGAATTGTTAGAACTTTGCACCGCTCACAAATTTAGCACAGGCAACTCATCTTGCAACATGCTGTCTCCTCCGGAACTGCCTCGGCTTCCTCTTCCTTTTATAGAGAAGAAACTGCCTCACCACAATAGTAGCTCATGAGAGTGTGGTACACCCTAACATGTCAGATATAATACCAATGTGCGCTAACAATTAAATGATAACACAAAACAGTGGTAGTCAAGCCTCAAGCCAAATGTCACGTATTTGATTTTCTTCCAAACAGAGCAAGCGTATTTACTTTAAACATTGTTTTATCGAGCCTAAACACTGCACCTTTAAAAAAATAAAGTTTAAGAGAGCCTCAAACATACGTCACCTGACTATCTTCACCTTTAGCTTACCTATTGAACATAATTTAGATAACACACTTGTTTTTTTTTTTTCAAAAACAGGACAGAAGCACAAGCCTTGGCACTATTCTACGAGGATTTCCTCAGTCTTTATGGGTTCTAGTGGGGTAACAGAGTTGGACAAATCTGAGCCTTCATCTTTGGAAAATTCTTCACGTGGGAGCAGCGCACCTGCACCTGAGTTTCCCTGCAGCCCCACTAATCCCCCTTGGGTGAAACACAGATGTCTGATCACCTCATTGGGGCTAGAGAACGTAGTTGCACAAATGTTACACTTGTAAGGCTTCGATGAGCCCATAAACATCGCCTCCATCTGGTTGCTGTCGTCACCTGCAGCGCACAGCTCCATACTCTGCCGGTCCACCATGGTGTATGTGTCGGCCCCCTGGTTTAAGCACACGTGCCGGGCTGCCTGGTTGGCACGGCAAAAGCTCTTGCCACAAGTGCTGCATTTGAAAGGCTTTCCTGTGTGGATGTACATGTGTTCGCGCCAGTGGCTCTTCTGAATAAACTTGCGGCCACAAGTGGAGCACTCGTACTTCCGTCGCTTCACTTCCCGGTCCACATCTGTGTTCTCCAGGTTGTCGATGTCCGCGATATCTGAAGGAGGAGGCGTATCGGCCTGAGAATTTAACCCTCCCACTCCCCAGCTGGAAGTGGACACCTCTGCTCGAGGAGAGTCTGAATTGGTACCTGAAACAGGGGTTTGCTCACTGTCGCTAATGATCTCGACCGCTGTCGGTGCAACCGAGCCACTTAACCCAGCCTTGTTTCCCTTTAGAACTCCCTCAGCTGGTAAGCCGTGCTCTTTAGTTATGACAGGTGAGAGTGAATTGCTGGGCTCAGTCGAGGTCTGCTGAAGAGCCTGTGTGTGCTGCAGGAGGTGCTCTCGCAGGAGACTTCTCTGGGTAAATCGACTCCTGCAGAGATGGCAGGAGTAATGCTTCCTAAAGGAGGAACTCCGCTTCATTATGCTGGGCTTTACATGGAGGATGGCACCTGCTGACGAACCGTCCGGACTTAGGATATCCATTGCCCCGTCCTCAACCATAGGCTTTGCACCACTAGTTGAAGCCTCCATATCTGGGGGTGAGGAAGCTTGCTTTGGTGGTAAGGAATTTGTGTATGAACTAGTAGGCGGCGTGGCTGGATACTTTCCTTCTGAGCTCCCCTGCTCGGTATCAAAGGGTGAAGAGAGATTCTGCCGACTGGGCAGTCTGGCCGACAGCGCAACCTGTTGGTCAGAGATCTGGATGCCATAGAGAGAGGTTGAGAGGTTGATGCTTTGCTCGGGGTGGGAATACACAGACTGGCTTGCCTCCTGCAGGAGTGGATAGGCGTGCAGGAATCTGACCCCCTGCTCCAGTCGTGCAGGGTCTATGAGCTGTGGGGCAAGTTTGCCTGTGTACATCAGGTTGAGGAGGTAGCTGAAGATATCTGGCTGTATGTCCGTAGCCTTAAGACGCACACAGTCACTAAAATACATACAGAATATGGTCAGTTAACATCAAATGATACCTGAGATTTAAAAAAAAAAAAAAAAAAAGCAACAGCAAAATGCTGCAACAAGTTTCAGTTTTCAGCCGGAAAGACAACAGATTCAAGCGAGGACTCCTGATGTATGAATAATTAAAAACCTGTAACAAGTTGTTTATCACTTTTTTTTGTTGTTGTTGTTTTTTCATTTTACATCTGCATTATTCTGTTTGAATGCAAATTGTCATCACTGAGGGACTTCTGAACTATTTCTCTGATACAACTATTAGTACTCTCCCGCTATACCTGTCTTGGTGAATGAAGAGCATTCTAAAGTAGTTGGAGAAGGCAGCGAGGACAGCTTTGTGGGCTTTGAAGAAGACATCTCCTATAGCCACGGTGCAGTCGCACAGGAAGCCAAACTCTCTCTGAGCGTTAAGCTGCTGCAGCAGGATAAGACCATGGTTGGCCAACTCCATTCTTCAACCTGCACAAAGACGCACAAAAACACACACAGACACAAGCGACAGTAAGTTTCCTGTCTGGAAGCAGACCAAAGTGTATTGTGACCACAAAGAGTTAGGCTGACGGTGGAGATCTAACGACCCTGTAAAGGCTAACTTGACGCAACCATAAAGAATCATTTAGTGACACTGGAGATCATTTCTCAAGCAATAATTCACAGAAACGCATGCTTATCAAAGGTATGATTTAGCAAATCCAAACATCTTAATCTGATTGGCTAACTGTATTGAACTCCTGTGGATATTGAGTGTTGTACATTGGTAGACGTGGGAAAAACAAGTCGGCTTCTTATTTAAATTTCATCCAGAACATCAGACGCATGGAAAAAATATTCTTGTTCTGAATGAACTTCAGAGACCAGACACTTTTAATCAATTTTATCCAGACTGACTGGCTGCCTTTGAAGTTTTCAAACTAGCTTTGTACTCAGAGTCCCTAACTGACTTCTAATGGCAGTCTCAAAAACGCTACCCTGAGCTGATGAGAAAACAACAAAACCTAATCATGAAAATTGCAAAATGTCTAACAAAGGCTGTGTTTCTATAGTGATGGATATATATATCCAGGTATATTTTAACAAAAATACACCTTTAAATTGCATTTAAATTCCTATAACAGGAAACTCATCTACTAGATGTGTGAGAGAGGAACATATACAAAAAACTTTTTTTAATTAATACATAATTCTGAAAAAGGTTTCCACTCAGAATATTTAATGGAGAAATTAAAAATTATATCACCATACTACAAACAAACATTGACACAAAAACATTTAGTCAAAGGGCCTCAAATGACATCCTGGTAGGTAGAAATTTCATGCTTTTTAAATTGATGTTATGTTTTCCACAATGTTTGAGCCTTTAAAAGTTGGAGGAGACAACCACATATAATTTTCAGGTCTGAATAACACATTTGAGCTCTTTTAAAAACTGTGTCCTACGGTGAAAGTGCACTAACTGTTATATATTATATCTGCAGCTCTTGTCTGTGTACAATTAACTTTTTGAAGCACTCAGTTCTGAGTAAGTCCTGGGAATTCAAACTCAAGGAGCATTTCTGAGCTCTGCAGCTTCACCTAACCAATGAGATGAGCTTTTGCTGACCCTAGCTCACCGGAGGACTGAGAGGGCTTTGGGCGATCACATGACCAGGGTTAAGGGTGTCGACACACATTCCTAAGACAAACTGGTTCTAGCCCTGTTCAGTAGATAACCATGTGGATCTCCTTTCTACAACAGTTCTCCACATCACGCAAGCAGACAATAAGGGACACCTCACCACTTAACTTCTCATACAGATCAGAATGTGTAGCACCACAAAAAAGCATTCAAAAGCCCTCCGCACATCTGCTTCAGAGGTCAGAGTGCAAAGAAGCTGGCATTGCAGCACACCAGGAACATGCTAGAGTTTCTGCAATAAAAACTGGCACAGAAGGCTCAGAAGATTAAATCATAATATAGACCACCTTTGATTCTGTCACACGTAATATTAATATACACTAGGTAGATACACCTTGCTAGAATTACAATTCAGCACTAAATCCAACCTCCACCATTGCTAAATTGCTCACTTTTCTTCATTCACAACAGACAGCTTACAGTCAATTACAGGTGAAATGAATGATCACTCAATCAATCAATAATAACTTTTCTTAAAAAGTATTTTGCCCTAATTTGGTCATCATACATTAGACATTAACAAGCTAAAAGAACAGTACAGAACAATCTGTGGTTCCAGTTTATATTTCTTCTGCTCTTCTCTGTAAAGATGGGCCCCACTACCTTAAATATCTAACCTCATAATATTACACCATCTATGTCAGTGATGATCTGTCCTTTTTATTCAGAATACCTCACAATTCCAAACCGCCATGATCTCCAAAACAGTCATGAATTCAAACCATGTCTCTAAAATAAATGGGAAAAAAATGAACATCATAATTTTTATGATTTTACTGCTAGGTTATTTTTATCTAGGTGTGCTACAGCTGCGTGTCCTCTTTACAGCACTGCTATATACCTAGCAATCAATGAATGGTCTTACTAATAGTTGCCCTGATCCTGGGTACCTACTCTATCACAACATCATAGTTGCTTTTTGAGTACAGTGACATGCATCGTGTATATTATATATCTAATTTTATGTTCACTAGTTTTCGGTTTACAAAGCAGCACAGGAAAACTAAAAGCAACACGACAGAGGCAAATATTGTCCTTAATAGCTGCTAAACCCACAAGAGAACCAGAAATCATTAATGTATCAGAATCTTTCTTAATAAATAACCTTTTCACTTGGTTCCCTAAAGACAATGTTGAAGAACGTCAATTGGGAGGTATGCTTGTAAGATAGATAGATAGATAGATAGATAGATAGATAGATAGATAGATAGATACTGCAAAAGTATTTATTTCTATATGCTGCGGGTTTCTGCAACACCAGAAATCGCGGTGAGCCTCCGAATCCGCCTGTTTTCTTAAAGCAGTCTAATTTGGGGCTTCACTTACGCGATTTTGTAAGATAACAGTACTATTTAACCGCAATCGAGCAACTCGAAAGCCAATAGAGTACGTCTTAATCAATACTAAGTTGTTCGTAACAATGTTGCACCGCCCCCGCTGTGATGTAGACACGTGGAACAGTTACTTCCGTAGTGAGATTCTCCAAAAAAAATACACCGTACAAGTGCCCATGAGGGAAGCATGCGAGGAAGGTAAACACGCTACAGAAATAAAGCATTTCATTACAGAGAACAGAAAATTATACGTCGAGTACATAAAGAAGCCCAGACGGAGCGTACAACACAAGCGCGCTTGGACTGAGTCCTGCCCCTGCCTCAGGTCTCTCTCGGTTGCTATTGCTAGCGCGAGAAAACGGACGTGCGCGCTCGCGCGCGGCCAACACACACATACGAGGAAGGAGAGCGAGCGACGCAAGGGGGATGGGGCTGGTCACGAACGCGTTTCTTTTAACTTCCCCGTGACAATTACAGTATTAGCCGAAGCACACACGAGTAGCGCACTAATTTTACAACACAAGTAAACGAACTGGCTGGTATGTCGCTAAAAACAACCGTACCTGCGCGCTCCTTAAATTGGCGGAGTTTGCCGTGTCGCCGTTGTTTGTTTGTTACCGGAGACTCGTCCGTCCTCTGGGCTCGCAGCAGCTTCAACTGTTCCTTGTAAACGCTGCATTCGTTGGCAGCGGAGAGAGGGTCGTCCGTCGGTGTTTTCCGGTTAGGGGTTTTACGTTACAATCACATGACTGTGGGTAAAAGCCAGCCAAAAACAGCCGTTGTAAAATCCGTTGAGCAGGGGGCGTTTGAGTTAACGTTAATTTCCCGCACTGTGTAACCGCCGCGAGATCAACCCCCGCTTGCCAGCTTTCTTTT